ATGCTATTGAAAAAAAAAAGCTCTCAGCCCTCATCCTCCAACCCCCAAACCGCGCATCTAGATCCCCATAACCCCATGCCTCCAGCTGAACCACCGCAATTGGGGAGATTTGCAAGCACCGCATTTAGCATCCCATCACCCTTAAGCGACAGCGCTAGAACAGCCTCGCTCAGACGCCACAACATGCCCATGCCTATTCCGGCTATCTAGGTACAAGCCACTCGGCAGCCCCGCGCGCTCCATTGACGAACAAGGAAAAAAAGGGATCATAAACAAAGTCCCGGCTCGTGCACTGGGAACCGTCGTTGTTGCTGTGTTGATTTTGTCGTGCCGATGCCTAGGCCGAACGCCCCCACACGCCGCGCCTGGAAAAACCCTTCCCCACCACAACCACCTAGCAAAAAAAGAAACCCAGATTTTATAGGTAAAAAGGAAAAGCAAAAATGTCGACCGATGTGGGACTCGAACCCACAGCCTCAGCCTGTACCTATGAATGGGCTTCTATAGGAGGGCTGCGCGCTACCATTGCGCCAACCGGCCAGATGCTTTTTTGATGGAAGAATTTGGACGGGAAAGGAATATATTGGGGTGTAGAAAAGCATAGTGGGGACATGGCCATGGCGGGGTAACGGAATGTTTGCTGCGGGGCATTCCGCAGTTTGCATACCACAGCAAATCTGCTACCCTGACTTCTCCGGCGGTAGTTATAGAAGGAACTTGTTGATAGTTCTGCTGCATGTTTTTCTATACAGGATATATAACACACTATAACCCTTCTCTCCACGCGTGCTATATCTCTCTTATCCCTCCACCGCGAAACGCGCAACTTGACTCTCTAACTAACTAACCGCCGCCGGACTAAGTATCTACTTGCCGTATCTTTTTCCTACCCACGCTAACTATATCCTCTCATCCATTTCTCCCATCTACTACACCCGAAAATCACCAAACCAACCCTCTCTCCCATCGTAACATCATCCACCACCCTCGCTACCAACCATACTAGAAATTATGCCTTTTTTTGG